TTTTGTTTTATTTTTGAAAGGCAAGATAATAGGGGTGTTGGGTTATGGACCGGGTCGACCCGGTTTGAAATGGACCGGGTCATGGGGAATATTGGACAATTGTTTGGGCTTGGGGTTGAATTTTGAAGAAATGGCCCAATCCGATTTTTCTTTGTATTTTTGCTCTTTTTCTTCTTTTATTTTTCTAGAACTAAATTGTAAAAGTACTTAAATTATTATTAAGAACTAAATTAAGTTATAAAAGCGCAAATTAATTCCCAATAACAATTAACCCATAATTAAGTAGTAATTAAGCATAAAATTGTATATTTGGACATTAAATGCTAAAAATGCAAAAAATACCTATTTTTGTAATTTTTTAATTTTTGTAAAACAAATTTAGTTACTAACAATTGTAGGATTAAATCATAAATGCAAATGCGACATATTTTTTTTGTATTTTTTATTAATTTAACAAATAAACATGCACATATAAAAATAATTATACAAAAATACCACAAAAATACAAAAATTGTATACAAAGGAAAATTGTTTTATTTTGAATTTTTTGGGAGTGATTCTCATATAGGGCAAAAATCACGTGCTCACAGCCTTCACAAGAACTTTTCTGCCTTTAACCTAAAGCATTAGAATCTGCTAAGCATTTACCGATTGATACCTCAGATTTCACGCAAAAAAACACAATCAGAAAGATCCCTTGAATGAAAAATCAAAGAAATAGAGCTTCACGAGGATGAACATCACATCCCAATTCTAAAAGAGCCCTTTTTATTCAGTGGAAAAAATATATATAAAGGTGATCAGTGTACCAAGTAAAAAAATCTCCCCCTAATTATACAAGTTCACTTGTTAGTGACAAACATAAGAAACAAAGGACGAGGTAGCAGTGTAAGGTCAGAAGTCGTCGGAGGTTCACCGGAATTGTAAAAAAATGGATGGTCGGAGCTTTAACTATCTCTTTCGTCTCTGGATGTGATAAATAAAACAAAATATGAAAATAAAAAATAATGACTCGTCGGAAAAATATATTCATGGTCAGATCTAGTAAAATCCCAACCCAAAACTTTTAGATCTTTGATCTCATGTATATATTTCTCTAGATTTGTGTATAAATATATGTGTATGTATAGAGAAAGGGAAGAGAAAATGTGAGTTGATAAATTTGAAGATTCTCCATCGTTTCCGGCGAGTTCGCCGGTGGAAATTTCGGCCATGATTATAATAGTGAGAAGGAAAAGAGGAGAGAGAGAGATAGAGAAGCAGTGGGGATGGACTTTGGGTCGGGCAATGATTTTTTTTGAAGTGAATCGGGTTAAAAGAAATGAGATGAGTCGATTTAACCTGATGCAGCCACGTGGTATTCCGTATCAAATAAGGATATATTTCTTCCATAGTATAACGGTAGGGTCCGAAATGAGCAAATAGTATAATGAAGTTTATATTTAAACTATTTTTGATAGTATAGGGTATTTGACCCTTTTCTGTATATAAAAAGGGAAATTCTAAGAGAAATGTATATTTTTAGCCGCTCCTAAAAATAATAACCAACAACAACAACAAACTAAGTGTATTCCCATAAATGGGGTCTAGGGAGTGTAGTGTGTACGCAGACCTTAGCCCTACAGGCCACCTTATAGAGATAGAGATATTGTTTCCGATAGACCCTCGGCTCAAGGAACAGTGGAGATAAAGCAACAAGTAGCAAGCAATAGTAACAATACAAAAATAATAACGGATAAATATATATGTTTTGTATGTATATGTATTATATACATTTAATATATATATTTTGTACGCTTTGGCCAGTGAATATAGTTAGTGTGATTGACATGCCAATTTTGTATTTTGCCCAAATTTTAATGATCATTGGTCCAGGAATTGTCTAACTGTTTTAGCATGTTATCATTGACTAATACTTCCATTGGAGAATTCTTGACCACTTTTTATATTTTTTTTACTATTTTTCTTAAATGGAAAGTTCTATTATGCTCTTTGCAAAATATATAAAAATCAAGGAATACATATGATGCATCTCGAGGAATCTTCCATTGCTGATCTGCAAGAAAGCATGAAGCATCCTTCTCAAAAAGAGAGCATGAACCATCAAAGAATCGATAGGCAAATGAACTGAAAGGTACACATCAGTCGATGTTGAACTCAGTTTGCAAGAATAAACAAACAAAATTACACATTCTTACGTGAGCTATCTTTAATTGACGACGTATCATTTTGACGGTCAGAGGTGAATATAGTCTTTCATCTGAATCTATAAGCTCAATTGATCGATGACTTATCATTTTACGTTTAGAGGTGCATATAGCCTTTTGACTACACGTTCATCTAAACCTATAATTTTTGACACAAAGTATATATATGTATGTAAAATCCTACTAAAATCTCAATAAACATTAGATTTAAAACCATAGTTTTAACAATATAATTAACTCAATGCAAAGCTTAACCCATTAAATTTCAATCCGGAATCCGCCTCTATTTACAGTAGTTTGCTTAATGAACAAGCAATAAGTGCTCTTAGATTTTATATAAATAAGTTTGAAAGGCGATTAAATAAAACGCTAAAATATTAAAGTATGATGGAACTAGTGAACATTGTGGAAGCGAAGAAGGATAATGTATCCATGCAAATTTCAATAAAAATCATGCACAAAATACCAGACACACCTCATAATATCGAGTAATGATATTACTCGATATAGTTAAGAATTTAATGTAGTTGTTATCTGTTAAATCATTACTATCGATCTATGCATTCAATCTATTTGAAATTTGCTAAATAGAGTTCCTCGAAAGGCTTTTGGAGACACTCCTTTTTCAGTAGGGTTTACATGGATCGGGTTGGTTCGGTTTTTATCAAAACCAAATCAAACCAATTATATCAGATTGGATTGGTTCGATTTTGTCGAGTTTTCGTTTTTTTTTTGTTACATAAGTATTATTTCAATCTTACTTTATTAAAATTATAGATAAAGCTTTGATAAGTGAATATATGTTTAGTAAATATGGAAAAAATTGATAAACATATAATCTATTAAAATATTCTAATGGGAGAATTTTTTTAGTAACACATGGTAGTTATTTTCTTAGTCGTCTAACAATAATTTTTTCGTTAATTTACGCTTTCAAGGTTAATACATGAGAGGATCCCAAATATTTCTACATTTTCTAAAGAAAAATCACTATAAAGTCTTAAAAATATAAATAAAATCTATATATTTATATGTTGGTTTGATTCGGTTTTTTTTACTCAATACCAAACCTAGTCGGAATTTTTAATCGATTTGGTTTGGTTTTTCGGTTTGGTGCGGTTTTCCGGTTCGGTTTGAACACCCATACTTTTGAGTTATGAATTAAAAGGAAACATAGTCATGACATCTACGTGTTAGAGGTTACTGATCAAACGCGTAATTCCAAAAATAAGAAAAAAAAGAACTTAGATTCTCGAGTAATTAACAATTATTTTGTAGGTAAGCAAAGAAATTCAAAGGGCATAAAATATAGATCTTACTTTCCTAATCAGGGCTAATTGTTTATTTATTTATAAAAATTGGTAAGGCTAGATTAATTGAGAGTATAGATAATATTGTAATAAAAACACATACGAATACTTTATTGCAAGTCTAAATTTAATAGGAGCACAAAAATTATGCTCATTTAAAATGGAGTAGGCTCTTCGCTTCATTTTTTGCCTAATTAGAAGAAGCATCAAATGATTGAACAGTTGTGGCGCTGCCGGAGCAGGAATCCTTCAATTAAAATTGCGATAGTAAGGAGTTAAAATGAGTATATGCAGATTATTATACCTAACGTTGAACCAACTAAACATCTACTTAAAATGATATAATTAATCATTATAATCAATTGTAGTTTCATTATTAATGAACTGATGCTTGAGCCCAAATGCATCCTTTGATTAGGCTCACCATATTGCACTATGTCATGGCACCCCGACATGGTCCAAACATTTAGTCTCGTCGGAATCTGAGATTCTTTAAAAATACTACATTTTAAGAGAAATCAATGTAACATTATTTCTTAATTAGTTTCTCGAACTATATTTTGAATGAGTTAGAAATAATGCTTCTTAATTTAAAGTAAAATATTTTCCTTTTTTTCGACCACGAGAAAAAAAATCATATGGTAATTCATAAAAAAGATGCAGGGCATCTCTAAAAAATTTCTAATATTTTTATATGAATTTAACTTCTGTTTTTTTGTTTCCCACCCGATGTCCGATACCCGTATTATAGCCTGACTATACCCACGGCTCGAACTCGAGACCTCTGGTTGAGGAAAGAACAGTCCCATCCACTGCACCACATTCGTTGGTGCTATACGAAATTAACTTATAACCACGGTTAGTATAATAAAAGTATAGAAAAACCCTTTTGATGTTAAAATAAAATAAAAAAACGCTGGGGACCAAATTGAAATTTGGTAAAAAACCAAGGAACCAAAAATGGAATATTCAGTCAGATTGCGCGTAAAACTGAGGTAGAGGATGGGACTCAACTAACCCTTATTGGTTAGGTCGTTGAGACGCTAGTAAAAAAGATGGATAAAGTTGTCGGAATTGGAATTACTTCTTCAAACTCGAAACGTTTTTCTATAGGTCCACCAATCCTTCCTTCCTCCACAAGATCTGCCTGTATACGTCTTCTTTCTTCTGGGCTTAACACTGCTGATTCAAACCTCACTCTCAACTCCAAATTTACTACTAGTACCCATAACTGCCCGCTGTTTATATACGACAATTTTTCAGTGTAATTTGTGATCACGCTTTCCGCATTTGGTCAAAGGGGCTTGTGAAATGCGATCCATGTCGATACCTAAGGAGCCAGAGCAAGTGATGAAACGGAGAGATGGATCCGTTTTGGGAAAGAAGACAATTCTCAAAAGTGACCATTTCCCTGGCTGCCAGAACAGACGCTTATCCCCTCATATCGACGGTGCTCCTAATTATCGCAAGGTTTTTCCTAATTAGCAGTTCTAATTTTCATTTTTCTTACTGCTTGCTGTGCCACATGCAGTTTTCTGTTTATTGTATGATACCTTTTTCCATTTTGGATGTTCTAGACTATTTGACTTAAATTTTTCTATCAGATTAACTTTCCTATTGTTATGATCATATTTTCTTTTATTACTACTTATTTAATGGCCAAGTCAAACTCTCTATCCAGCCAAATGGCCTAAAGTTTTTTCCTAATCTCTTTGACTGTACAAAGTTTCCTAAGTTTGATATTCCTTTTTTTGGTGTATTTTATTGATCATAACTGTAAAAAAGTAATGCTAGTTGGCTGGGACAGATGCTGTGTGTCTCGTATGGGTTCATATGAACCCAATAACTTTGGCTCGGACCACTAAATAACGACAAATAATAGATTTCGAACCCAACAATTAAATCAATGAGCTGTGGTGGAATCCCGAATTACTCGAATCCATAAAGTTCAAAACCTGATTCCGCTGCTGCTAGTTGGACCTCTTTGTGGATGAGTTAAACGCATCTGTCTTGATTCACTAAACCCCTCTAAATTCCTCAATGGTTTCACTTTGGTCATATTGCATACAGCTGTTGATAAATTATTGTAAGATTAAGCAAAGTGCAATATTACATAACTACATGTAAAAGTTAACTTAATAGCTAATTATTCAGCTTGTTTATTTATTCCTTTTATCTTTTTTTTTCCGTGACTGGTGTTTGGTTGAAAAAAGTGTACCGCATTCTCCTATTCATCCAATACTAACAGATGTTAGAAAGTTGAAATTGAGGGGTTGCATAATTCCAGATGTTTGCATCTCCTCTTTATATTCTTTTTTAGTTCTTTCTCTTTAGATAGGGGTTATATATTTGCATTGTCAGCGTATAGATTTTTTACACCATCGGGTTAAGTTCACTTAGAACAATAGGTAAATCTTCATAGCAGCCTGATATGGTAACTTGAAAAATAGAAGAATAACCTGTTATAACCGATTAAATTGACCTGATGGTGTAACATTATTCGTCATTGTCAATGTATATAACCTAAATCCATATTAGAATCATCACCTGTGCCCCGCGAGCAAGTGTTAAGTAGCTTGTAAGTCCCTTCTATATCTCATGACAAAGCAGAAGGTCTAGAATTCCACTCTTTTTAGGTGAATGTTGTGGAAGCAACAGAAGATATTGATGGCCAACAAGTTCAGAATGGAAACATTCTTACCAATGACATATACCATGTCACTTAAGTGAATTGGCCTATAACTGTTACTATGCATATTGACCTCAGGATTGTGACTATGATGTATTAGTTACATTGTGCATGATTTCTTGGAGAAATTTTTGTGCAGTTGGAGCGGAAAAAGCTAAGAGAAAGAAGGATAAGGAAAATCATATAGACCATAATAACGTGAAGAAATAGAGGAGCTTCTGGAGAATTCAGAATATATTGTCTCAAATGAAAGATATATTATTATCTTTTTGTTACCTTTGGAAGACATAGAATATTGACTTGTATAGCTAGTTGGATGACTCTTGTTGAGAACGATACTCTTGTATTGCTACAGTGGAAAGACTGATGGTTGCAATAGAGAGGAAGAATATATAATATATGGTATAAAAAATGACGATTAATCGGGGCCATATTCTTGAGCTTCATACTAGTGTCCAACTTGTTTAAGCTATTGTTAATCCACATTATATAGCACTGTTGTTTTGGCGGGCGATCAAAGCAACTGTTATACTCATGGTCATGGGCATCAAAGTGATTCCTTTGCATTTGCTATGGTTTATATCATATAGCTCTTGGATGGTTATGTTGGTCATTTAATGTGTTGCACTCCCTGACTAAACTATTCTCTTTAGGCCGGCTCTTCGCATGTTCATGGTGTTGCTATTCCAACGGTTGAAGGTATTCAAAATGTTCTCGACCATATTGGAGCTCAACTGAGTGGGAAGAAAACTCACTTTCTCTGGATTAATCTCCGTGAGGAACCGGTAATAGTGCTTCATTAATTTTGGTATATGCATTTCACTGAATTTCTTCTGCACTTCAGTTTTATTGTAATGCTTTCCTATAAATGGCTATTATTTCAATAATAACTGCAGTACAGTTTTGTAAACAAATTTCTAGGACTTCTAATAGATTCTTTTTGATGAATTAATCATAGTGAGTAATCTTGTAGACATTGTTTGCATGATGTGTTGCACTCTTTTTTTGGGGGTTTTATGATGCGTTGCACCTTTAAATCTCATTATTTGCATTCAACACATTCATACAGCATATAGTTCCATGTTCCAAAATTTTATTTATGTTGCTCGTTGAGCCCTTCCAGTGCACAAATTTCATTGCACCATTTTTGATTAAACAGAAGACCATCATCTCTCTCTCTCTCTCTCTCTTGCTTCTTCTGCTGCATCCTTTTCCTTTTTTTTTTGGGGGTGGGTGGGGGGNGGTGGGTGGGGGGTGGGGGGAGGGAAGTTGATGAGAGCCTTTCCTTGTATACGGGACCCATTCAAAAGAGTATAGGCACTTCTCTATTCTACATTTTTTTCTCTTTCATGCATTAGGTTGAATTATTAAATAAGTTCTATGAAAGGTGGAGACACAAGATAATCTTTTACCTCTCTTTAGATAGCCCATGGATTTTCGATTTCTATTGGACTTGGTTAGATAATAGCAAACTTGTTTGTGATAAGATTGTGGGCTGACTGAAGGTAAGTTCTGATTGATTACCTAAGATGCGACAATTAATATCCATCTTCATGAAGTATCTGAAGGTGCAAATGTCTGTGTTAGTATTCTTGAGTGAGTGATCATGTGGAAAAGGAAATATGAAGCTGATCGAAGCTGAGAATTGATATATACATTGGTATTCCTGATCTCTCTAATGCGGAACTAGATAAAACACGTGTAGTGATATCTGTGTTTCTTTTTGGACATGAACTTTTCGATCAAGATGCTGCAAGATTTTAATTCTGGAAAACTTTATCATATGATTGTTTCCTTTCTAAACATGTAACAGGTGATATATATAAATGGACGCCCGTTTGTCTTGCGTGAAGTAGAAAGGCCTTTCTCAAATCTGGAGTATACGGTGCGTCATGGTTAGGGATTTATTTGTCATTTTGACTTATTGTTACTGATTTTATTTTATATTCACATGATCATATTGTAATCTCCTGGAATCAGGACATTGCACACTTTTTCAGGATTTATCAAAATAACATGCCATCACGTACCCACACTCACAAGTTAAACACTTCTGATCATGACATCAATGAGATATCATAAGATACATGTATTTCTTTTACTTTTTGCTCTCAGATGCAGCATTGGTTGTAGGACTTTTGTCTAGCACTTGGTGGGCATCTTCCTTTCAGAAGTTTACAAAAAGTTAGTAATATATTAATAAACATATTACAAAAATATACTGGACGTACAGACAAACTATTTACCTTCGTTAGGATAGTATAGCCCTTAATACTTGGGTAACCGAGGCCAAAAATCATGCCAAAGACTAACCTTCCTACTTCCCAACACGCCAACAAGAGTGTTCCCTGAATACAGCAGAATGGATTTTCCTACTTCCCGACACGCCTTGTGATTCCAGATACCCCCTATGTATTTGTATCTATCCTTTTATAGCTGGCTTGCAGTATGAATAACCAAGTAAATAACCTGATTAAAATATGTGCATGCATAATGGTTCATGAACCAAGTATTCAGTATTTAGAATAATATTTTGAGTAAATGTTTATCTTAACGTTTTAAAGTGCCCATTCCTGAATAGATAACGTTTTTAAAATAGTGAAAGTATGGGAGGATCCCAATAATAGAAAATAAATGCACATTTTGAACATTGAATATGCATTTCATCAAAGCCGGCTGACGTGCATGAAACTCTGTTCTTTTTGGTGCACCCATGAGGTTCCTTTATGTATAGAAGATTGGGTGTCATTCGTAGAAAACCATATCTTTTTGTAGGTTTTCTACTTTTCTTGGGTATACCCCTTGTATACGGGTTTTCTAAGCCCAATATTTTAATAAAATTATTACTTGATCCCAAAATAAATAAAAAAAAGAATGGATGGAAAGTCTGATTGCATAACTACCGTGAGACCTTATCACAGCAGGATCCTAATGCTTCTTATTTGGGTAAAACTTTTTCTTCTGCCAATGCATATTGGTTCACACTCATTCTTGTGTATACTTACAACTTTTTATATCTGGCATTTATTGGGTTGTAATACAAGTTTCTAACTGCATATCTTTTCCTAATCTATCTGTTGATATTCTTCTTGATATGACGTTAGATTTTATATTAAATAGGGAATTAATAGGAAAAGGGTGGAGCAAATGGAGGATCGCTTGAAAGAAGATGTTCTGCTAGAAGCTGCAAGGTTATTGTTTGCTCTAATTTTATTGTTCTTGAATGAATATCTAGGTTTTCACTAAATGTCATGATGGTGCTCACGTATTGCAAATTTTATGTGAATCACTTTATGAAAAACAGATACGGAAATAAGATCCTAGTAACTGATGAGCTTCCTGATGGTCAGATGGTGGATCAATGGGAACCAGTAACATCTGATTCTGTGAAAACACCCTTACAGGTTTCATGAGTTTAGGAAAGCTTTATTGAAGTTGATGTCAGAAAAGATTGTACTGATTGCTCATTTTCATTTTGAACATCTCCCTCTAAGTTAGGTGTATGAGGAACTGCAAGCACAAGAGTACCTTGTCGACTACGAGCGTGTTCCTATTACTGACGAAAAGTCACCCAAAGAGCTGGATTTTGATATTCTTGTGAGTATTTGTATTTCTACTCGGCTTTGGCTTTGAATCCCATTTTTATGTCGAAGATACATCTCTTATCATCACGAAAGGCATGGGAGGTTCTTTTTGCTTAGGTTTTTATTATTTTTGGTCAGTTGTTACGTTGGAACATAATTTCACGCATCTGATATGCTAGGAATAAATTTTTATTACAGCATCGCGACCGTCTTAACTCGTCAAGCTGACGTCTTTTATGTATATTGACATGGGTGTTTAACTTTTTTTTTCTTTCCTTTTCTAGTAAGTAGTCTAAAGATGGATGGAAGACATGTATTTATGACTATCTACACATTTATGCTCTTCAAATAGTGCTTTTGCTTAATAAACATGTCGTTTTCAATGTAATGGTGCCAAATCGTTTTTATGATAGATTTGAGCATTAGTTTTGTCTCATTCCTCATTTGTTTTTTTTTGTTTGCCTTCTGATCTTTAGGTTCGTAGAGTTTCTCAAGCTGATGTGAACACACAGATTATTTTTAATTGCCAAATGGGACGTGGGCGAACAACCACAGGAATGGTGATTTCCACATTGGTGTATCTTAATCGAATAGGGGCCTCTGGTAATTATTTTCTCTCATGTCAGACCTGGTATTTTCCTTCAATGTCCAATTTAGAAATATTTCCTGCCCTTAGATTTTATTCTCTTGCTTCTTGTTCTTGCATTCTGTTTTATTAAGCCTTTTTAGTTAAAGGGCCCTTTTTTGGGAATAGTGACCTGAAATTCAATTGTTCAGAGAAGGGATTCAATACCTTAACTTTGATATCACGAAGAGAGAAGTGAAAAATTCCAGAATAGTCACCAAAATTTCAATGCTAAGAGGAGGAACTCAATACCCAAACTCTAATACTATGAAGAAAAAGATGAGAAACAAAACTTTTAAGGAATAGTGACTGGAAATTTAATGCTTAGCTGAGGTACTCGATGTCCAAATTCTGGTACTATGAAGAAAATGGAAGAGAAGACTCTTGCAGAATAATGAAATACAATGGACTCAATTCCTAAACTCTAATACCATGAAGAAAAAGAAGAGAAGAAGACTTTCTGGAATCATAACCGGAAATTCGATTTTCAAAGGGATGCAACGCCTAAATTTCGTCTCATGGAGAAAAAAGAGAAGAGGTTTCGGAAAATACTTTACTTAAAAGTCACCCGAAAAAATGCTGAAATAGTGAAGACCATGCTGAGAGAAGCATCACTGGAAAGAGACACAAAACCATCTAAAGGGTGAAAATAAGAGTAGTGTCGATGGAAAAAAAAGCACCCAAGGGTGTGGCTTAGTGGTCAATGAAGTGGGTTGAGAACCATGAATTCTCAGGTTCAAAACCTAGGTTCAAATCCCAACAGAGACAAAAACGCTCGGTGATTTCTTCCCATTTGTCCAAGCTTTAGTGGACAAAGTTACTTGGTACGTGTGCTGGTAGATATGTTGAGTCCCACATCGACAATGAAGGGGATGGGTGGTCTCCTTATATGGACTTGGGGAATCCTCACCTCTTGAGCTAGCTTTTGGGGTTGAGTTAGGCCCAAGGTCCATTTATCATGGTATCAAAGCAGGACCCATCCCGATTTTCCGATGTTGGGCCCCCATAATTGCCCACACTCCAGATGTCTAGTCTTGGGCGTGAGAGGGGGTGTTGAGTCCCACATCGACAATGAAGTGGATGGGTGGTCTCCTTATATGGACGACAATCCTCACCTCTTGAACTAGCTTTTGGGATTGAGTTAGGTCCAATGTCCATTTAACATGTTATCAGAGTAGGACCCATCCCGATTTTCCGATGTTGGGTCCCCATAATTGTCAACGCTCTAGATGTCCAGTCTTGGGCGTGAGAGGGGGTGTTGAGTCCCACATCGACAATGAAGGGGATGAGTGGTCTCCTTATATGGACTTGGGCAATCCTCATCTCTTGAGCTAGCTTTTGGTGTTGAGTTAGGCCCAAGGTCCATTTATCATGTAGATTTTAAGAAGAAGAAAAGACTTCTTATATTTTTGTGTATGTTTACATCCCATGAGCAAGGGAATTTATACAAAGCTCCTAATGCTAATTAAGGAAATAAAATAAATCTATATAATCAATCTAGCTATCAAATCAAATCAAATAAAATCATAATAAAATTAGATCTCCTAAATATAATCAAATCTCCTGAAATCATGCTAATCAACACTCCTAAATCTAGTCTCCTTGAATCATGCTAATCAACAAGATATCAGGTATCCTGTAGAATTAGTTGAGGTGTGCGCGAGCTGGTTCGAATACCACCGGCATAAAAGAAAAAGATAAGAATATTTTGAGAACAACCAACTTTGGCAGATTGATGGTGTAGCTGCCCGGGGTTAATTTGCAGCTACGTAATCTCTATCAAAAGACTTTAGTACCATATGAAACAGAGAAGCAGAAAAGAGAACTTGCTTGTATTGGTTATGAAAAACTTAAAATATGCTTTTTATATATACTACATGAAATAAGAAGAGTTATTAATGAGGAAAAATGCCTAAATTACCGAGATTCACAGTTGTAACAGAATGAGAGAGAATATTCTGACTCTAACTTAAACACATAGAATGAATCTAGAATATTCTAGCATACAATTGCATTAACTCTCTTGACTTTCAACAGCTTGCATGCGGGTTTTTCCCATCATATAATGAATTATTGATTTCACAAAAAGAGAAAATATGCAGGCTCTAGTCACCTCTTTTTTTAACGGTGACTGGGTTGAACATGATATCTCTTCACTGCTGGTGAGGAAATCCAGCCTCGTTATGATATGGATTGTAGATATCACTCATAACCTCATGAAAACAGTAGGTTTTTGCTTCTGTTTACTATTTATCAGTTTAAAGTCCCTTGATAAGTCCCTCATTCCTGCTAATAGTTGATTCACACACTTAGTAGAAAGGCTTAATTGGATAATGTAGAAATCATACATCTCTGTACGTTTTGATTGTTGCCCAAGCCATTTCTACTTGCAAAAAAGCACCTTTCTCTGGGGAAATAGAAGGTGACTAAAAATAAATGAGGAAAGGGGTAGCGGAGGACAAAAGAGGGTACGAAATTGTAAGTTAAGCCTTGAAAAACATTTACATGTGAGAATAACATTTCTTCTTTTATACCCTTGGTTGCTGTAGATTGTGATGCTATAAAAAATGTACTCCCTCTGTCCGAATATATGTGGCGGTGTAAGTGTTTGACTCAACACGGAGTTTAAGAAAGAAAGGAAGACTTTTGAAATTTGTGGTATAAAACTGGCCATAGATATTTGTGTAGCTATAAATCATCTCATTAAGGGTAAAGTAGGAAGTTTAAAGTTATATGGTTTCCAATAAGAAAGTATGTCACTCTTTTTGGGATAGCCTAAGAAGAAAAGTATAACACATAAATTGGGACAAAGGGAGTAATTGTTAATATGCTTAAAAGCCCAGCTAATAACTGCAATATAACTGTAAGAGGCAAACTGTAACAACAATAACAACCCAGTGGAGTCCCACAAGTGGGGTCTGGGAAGGATAGCGTGTACGCAAACCTTACCCCTCCCTTGGGGAGGTAGAGAGGCTGTTTCCGAAAGACCTTTGGCTCGAGATGAAGAATAGAAACAGGTAAATATCAACAAGCCAGGAAAATGCCACCAACAATGGAAGTTGTAAAAACTTCTGTTAGAGATAGCTATGTAATTGTCCCACATTGGAATAGGAGTAGTATCCCCTTTGTATAGAGTAGCTATAAATAACACCTCTTATATTGCATCACACACAATATATCAATATATATCATATTTTCTCCCGTGCCTTCTCACATGGTATCAGAGCTATCGTGAGAGATTTATCGCTGTGCATAAATTCCAGCGATTCCGGGAAGTAAAATCAGTCACCGGAACCCTTTTTTTCCGGCGACTTTCAAAGTTGTTTTGCGTCTGCTTTGTCTCGGTCAGTGTTGTGCACAAAATCCAACACTACCACAAGAGTAGTCACTGTCCGGCGACCAAATTCCAGTGAAAAATCTCCGGCGGTACTGTAGCTGTCCAAAGAAAATTTTTCGGCGAAGTTCCAACGTTGCGTGGGCCACCTTCCGGCCATTTTTTGGCGACGACTCTTCAGGACAGATTGTTTCCCTTGCAATTCCGAGCCTACCCATCCAGGTTACACCAAATTCCGACCACTTTTTTATTTTTCCGGCGTGAATAGTGATTTAAAAAAAAAGGGGTGGACTTCTGGCCATTTTTTGAAAAAGTTCCTTCAGAACAGTTGGGTCTTCTGGTAATTCCGATCCTACCCCTACTGTTTTTATTTCATTCCGACCACTTTGAATATTTTCCGGCTGCAACAGTAACTTTCCAACTGCTACAGTAGTTTACTATTCTGGTTCAGTGTTCCTTACTCTATTTTCAGTGGATTACAGTTGATTATTTCTCTTATTTGGTAATAATTTACAAGATGTCTTTGGGAATTGATGTTTTTGGGCCTAAAAGCATGAGTTCTAGAAACTCTAATGTTATGATTACCTCGGAGCCTTTAATGGGAGGTTCAAACTACTTAGCTTGGGCTTCATCTGTCGAGTTGTGGTGTAAAGGTCAAGGTGTGCAAGATCATCTGATTAAACAGTCTAGCGAAGGAGATGAAAAGGCGATAGCGCTTTGGGCAAAAATTGATGCTCAATTATGTAGCATCTTGTGGCGTTCTATTGATTCTAAGTTGATGCCTTTGTTTCGGCCATTCCAGACATGTTATTTGGTTTGGGCAAAGGCTCGTACGTTATACACTAATGATATATCTCGCTTCTATGATGTGATATCACGGATGACAAACTTAAAGAAGCAAGAATTAGATATGTCTACTTACTTGGGTCAGGTACAGGCAGTCATGGAGGAATTTGAGACATTGATGCCAGTTTCTGCTAGTGTGTCAAAACAACAAGAGCAGCGACAGAAAATGTTTCTAGTTCTTACACTCGCTGGACTTCCTCATGATCTTGATTCAGTACGAGACCAGATTTTGGCGAGTCCGACTGTCCCTACAGTTGATGAATTATTCTCTCGATTACTTCGCCTTGCTGCAGCACCAAGTCACCCAGTGATTTCATCACAGATACTTGATTCCTCTGTTCTTGCATCCCAGACAGTGGATGTTCGGGCATCTCAAGCTATGGAGAATAGACGAG